ACTGGTCAGCCCGGAGGGCGGGGCCGGGCTGGCGTCCCGGGCAGCCCTGCACCGGCCCAGGGCAGCGGTGCCAGGCGGGCGGGCTCTGGGACTGGCAGCTCCCTGCTGGCGCCTGTCAGGACTCCGGGAACAGGAGGGAGGCCCGCTTTTGCTCAGTTCCAAAACAAAACAAAACAAGACAGGGGCTGGGGATTTAGCTCAGCGGCAAAGGCGCTTGCCTGGCAAGCGCAAGGTCGTGAGTTCAGTTCCTGGTACCGGAGAAAAAAAAAAAAAAAAAAAAAAAAAAAAAAACAAGACAGCGAGTGGGGGGCGGGGTGTGACTTCGCTGCACCTTCCTGGGCCATTTCTGGGATTGCAGTCTGTGGGAACAGAGAAAGGCGGGAATGACGGTCCCACAAGGAAACAAACGGAGTGTGAATGTGCGGGGGAGGGCGGGTGTCGTGTGCAAGATGCCCACGATCTAGGTTAGATTTGGTGGGGGCGGAACTGAGAAGAGGATGCCGCTCTGCTCCGGAGTGGAGAAAGGACATTCTGAGGGCTTCTTAATTGATGGTGTGTGTGTGTGTGCTGGTATTGCAAATAATTTGCACTCCTAGAGGTTCATCTGGAAGAACAGGCTTTGACCTTTTCCATCGTGTGAAACCTGGACTTAGTTGTTAACTGTTCTGTGATGCCAGGACGCTGCAGGACAGGCTGAGATAAGAGGCACTCGTGCGCTCTGGGAGCTCCGGAGGCGGAGGCAGGCTGGCGGCAGCTCCCAGCACACGCCCCCCACCTCCATTAAAATGTTTAGTTTTTTGCCAGCAGCAGCGTGGGTACTGGGTAAACAGGTTGCTTTGTTTCTGGCCCTGGGCAAAGTCTTCCTCTGCTTCAGCAGGGCAGGGGTTAAGAGGAGGAGCCCTGTGTGGGCATCGGGGAGCTGTCAGGTGGGGGAGGGCAGTAAGGGGTGGAACTACCTTATAAGGAGTGGAAGACAGCCCAGGACCCAGGCCAACTTCCTGCTTTGGCTACTACCAATTGGTCCTTTACCAACACCAGCTACAGTCAGGGAAAGATGCCAGATGGGCATCCCACCTGGAAAAGTGCCAACTAGCCCAGACAGGAGGCTACTTGTTTTGTAAAAGAAGATGTTCTAGCTGGGGGAACCTGACCTTCTGGTTTGCACTGCTGGGGATGGGTGTGTTAGTGTATGCTCACTGCAGGACCAGGAAAACCAACAAAATTTCAGTGTGGACGCTAACCATGAGAAGCAATGAAGAGTTACAAGTGTTAGGTATTCTTTAATCCAGGCTGGACTTGAACTCACTGTGTAGCCCAAGCTGGCCTCCAACTCACAGTGATCTTCCTGCCTCAGCCTCCTGAGTGCTGGGATTACAGGCATGTCCCACCACCCGGCTACAAACACTATGCAGGAACTCTTGAGGGAGTTTAGGATGGAACAATGACTTTGTAATCCAGACTGGTCACGATGCTAACTTGAGACTTCTCACATTGGTAATCTGAGATTTGGAATTTGGGTTTGTAGAGCTGAGAGTTTTATTAATCCTGAGCATGTGGTGGAACACTGCCTTTGGCCAGGTCTTTTCACTTTGGCCTCCTTTACTTCATTATCAATTTCCGCACCGCAGACCAACCAAACTGTAATGCCACACTTCCATTTGTCAGTTTGTTAACAAATATCTGTTATGTAACCCCACAGTACACAGCCTTGCGCTGAGCATGTGTGGTGGCTGTAAGACTCTAGCTGGGACCTACAGCTCATTTCTGAAGCAACCTGCAAGCTTTTTGGTGGAATGGAAAGACCCAAGCCCTGCAGCCCGTCAGGTCTGAGCTCAGATCTGGCTGTCACTCAGGCAGGGTGGCGGTGGACAAGTTATTCACCTCCCAGGTTCCAACAGTGTAGGTGGGAGGGATGACACCCACCAAGCCTGTTCGGAACACACGGGGCTGTAAGGAGCCATGCACCTATTAGATGTTTAACACAGTGCCTCATCCTTGTCATATCAAGATGTGCCTGCTGTGCAGTGTCACTGGTGGGGGGTGCAGAATACAAGATGGTCACAGATGGGCTTCTGGGGAAAGGGGTCTGGAGTCAGGTGTGACTGAGGCCCTGGACCTATGACTCTCTCAGGAGAAAGAGGAAACAGTACCATCCAGGGAACTGGTGAACTGAAGCTGGGCAGCTGGGAGAGGGCAGCATGACGGGTGTCTAGCGTGGAGGGTGTGCCAGGTGGCAGTGACTTAAAGCATTTGCCTGGCACCTTGTGAGTGCCCGTCACGTGCCGGGCTCTCTGCTCATGTCAGAAAGTCCCAGTTCAGCCTCACAGGGTGCTCAGGAAAGAAGCTTCCAGGGTGGCCAAGTGAGCCCTGGCCAGGGCACTGACAGAAGCCAGGCGTCAGCTTGCACAGGGGTCTGCCCTCTGCAGCCAGGCCTCTGCCCTTCCTCCTGCAGGGAGGACCTGGGACAGCCTCAAGCTGCATGTGTCATCCTTTCTTCAGGTGAAAGGTCCACATCCCACCTCAACATGTCGCGGCGAAGCCAGCGTCTCACACGTTACTCTCAGGTTGATGATGATGGCGGCAGCAGCAGCAGCGGAGGGAGCTCGGTGGCCGGGAGCCAGAGCACCCTGTTTAAGGACAGTCCTCTGAGGTAGGGACTTGGGGGAATGCCACCAGCTCTGTCCATCCTGCTGCAGCCTTCGTGGTTGGAGATGCCTGAGTTTGCCTAAAGGGGTTCGTCGTGTGAGGTGCTGTACCAACCTCCCCTTCTTTATCCACTGTAAGCTGTTGCTGCTACCCTCACGATTAAAGAACAGGAAGTGGGGAGAGGCAGCTTCAAGCACACACCAGGCCGGAAACCCCCAACTGCAAGCTGGGCTCAAAGGAACCCCTTCTGCTCTGGATGGGTGTGGCCATCCTCCCTGGCCCCTGGCCTTGCCCCGTCTCACCACCTGTACATCTAGGTGTCCTGCCCCATCTTGCAGATGCGAGGCCAAGGCACTGCTAGCTCTAGGAGTCCAGGTCATCTCAGGCTGGGTTTTCCATGGATTGTCAAAATTACTAGTCCATGAAGAAGCATGGGAACAATCTTTGGCTTTGAACTCAGAGACCTAGGTTTGAACACTGGCTAACTGATGAGCTGGCCTGTGAAATTTAGAGATAACAGGAGCAGAGAAAATACCTAGGGCTGAGGGTGTTACTCAGCGCTAGTGTGCTTGCCAACACCAAGGGGGAAAAAACCCTCACTGGTAGACCTGGTTATTGGTTGCCTAGCAACAAGACCAACCCATGCGATCCATCGTAGGGTGTCAGGGCGCTGCTTCCTGGCTGGACTCACCTCCTTGCTTCCTGCCTCTCCCCTCGTGACTGCCCCACAGGACCTTGAAGAGGAAATCCAGCAACATGAAGCGCCTGTCCCCAGCACCACAGCTGGGCCCCTCCTCTGATGCGCACACCTCCTACTACAGCGAGTCCATGGTCCGGGAGTCCTACATAGGCAGCCCCCAGGCCGTGTCCCTCGCCAGGAGCGCCCTCCTTGATGACCACCTGCACAATGAGCCCTACTGGGGTGAGTGTCCCGAGCCCTCTACCTGCAGCTTGGCTTCCCCCAAACCCTCCTCAGTGTCCCCCTATAGAATGCCCCTCTGCCCCGGCCAGCGATGCCCCGGCGCTGGGAGGCCTAGCAGAGACCCTGCTGTTGCCTGGCAGGTGAGGACCTGCATGTGCGGAGGAGGAGGGGCACAGGTGGCACCGACAGCAGCAAGGCCAATGGGCTGGCAGAGAGCAAGGCCACCGAGGACTTCCTGGGCTCCTCCTCTGGCTACTCTTCCGAGGACGACTTCGCGGGTAGGTGGCTCCTCCCCTCCCAGCTCATTCCAGATAATGTGAGGGTGTGGGAGGCCTGGACACAGAGCACCCCAGCAGCCCAAAAGAGCACAACACGTGACAAGCACCTCACAGCCTGGCAGGGGCACCCCTCTTGCGCCCAGCCCTCCCTGAACCTGGGCTGTGGCTCCCGAGTACTTGTCAGTCTGCCCCACCCAACCCATGGCCAACACCTCTGGGCTCTGCTCTTTGCAGCAGTTCACTGTGGGGCCCTGCGCATAGTAGGTGCTCAGTAATTGTTTGTAAGGCATGTGAGTGACCTCCGCTTTGTCTGATTCCGATCAATGGATTGAGGGATTGTCAGTGAGGAGAATCTCTGGTAGGAGATAAAATGTCAGAAACCTTCCATTTCATTCTTTCCACAAACATTCCCTGACCTACTGCGTGCTAGACCCGTGTGGTGCTCTGGGGACATGAAGTAGAAGGCTGTGTGGTCTCAGCTCAATAACAGTCAGGCTTCAAGTCCCCAAGGCTCTTAAAAGCGACTCCATGCTGACAGGCTTCTTCTCACCCTTCCCTGCAGGCTACGCGGACATGGAGCAGCAGAGTTCAGGGTCCAAGTTAGGGAGCGTGGTCTCCCAGGCAGGCTCCTTTGCCTGGGCGGTGGTCACTTTTCCAGGTGGGTGCCGGCTGGGTGTGCTCAGTGACTTCCCCTCTGCAGCAGTAACTTCTTACCCATCTCAGTGATTGGGCTCCCAGAGTAGGCACGGGGCTGGGGCGGGCACCTTTGGAGCAGCCCGGAGGATGTGGGCAGCGTGGACAGGTGGGATTGGAACCTGGCCACTGTGGGATGGGACAGAGGTGCTGGCACGTGAGTGCTGCGAGTGGGACAAGGAGAACCACAGGTGGGGAGAGGGTGACATGCTAAATATGACCTCAAGTCTTAGGCTCGAGGGCCTCTTTTTCAGGCCGGCTCTTCGGGCTTCTCTACTGGTGGCTTGGCACTACTTGGTACCGCCTGACGACGGCAGCCTCGCTCCTGGATGTCTTTGTTTTAACCAGGTGAGTGAGACTTCGGCCAAACAATGGCTCAGAAACCCTGGGACCCATGAAGCATCAGACCTCTATGTGGGCATTTTTCCAAAAGTTCCTCCAGTTTGCTTTTATCAGTGAGCTGGGAGCGGATCCCCAGTGCCATCCTGCCTGACAAAGAGGGTCCCAGGGGCAGGTTTTGTGCCCAAATCCATAGCCCGGCAGGGCAGGACTCAGGAACACAGGTTCTTATTTCTGCCTGGACACTTCCTACCAAGCATGGCCCGGCCCAGCACTTCTGAGTTGCAGAGAGCCATGGGCTTATCTCAGCACTCGGCCCCGAGGCTCAGCCCTGAAGTAGGTGGGGTCCCAGAAAGTCCAGCTTCCTTCCTGGGCCCAGGACAGGCCAGACCCCAGAGTTTTCCCACTCTTCTTCCTCTCCCAAGTTCCCAAGCCACAGGACCAGGAACTCACCCCTTGGGCAGAGGAAAGGTCGCACTGGGATCGCTGCAGCCTGCTCTCCCGAGAAGCGGGGCAAGGACAGGCAGGCTCAGGGCACCAAAACAGACTCCTGGCTCTGGGAGCAAACATTGTTTGTTTAGAGAGTTACATCGTTTTTCTATGTTTCTGTATTTGCTTTTTATATTTATGGAGGCTCTGTCTACTGAAATGTTTGGGTTTGTCAAAGACCACACCATTTGTTGTTAATCACATCAGTAAAATTCAGTCAACATTGTACCCGTCACCCCATGCCCTGCAGAGAAAACGGTAGCATTTATGCTGGCCCCGGTCCCACGAGAAGTTCAAGGATTGTCCCCCTCAGTTCTACTGAGGATGCGGGAGAAAGTCTGAGGGACTCGCTGGGGGGACACAGCGCCCCAAGCCACCCCCTCACAGCTGCACCCCTGTGTGCCCTCTGATCCAGGCGCTTCTCATCTCTCAAGACGTTCCTCTGGTTTCTCCTGCTGCTACTGCTCCTGACAGGCCTGACCTATGGTGAGCCGGGGCAGGGAGAGTGTGGCTGCCCGTCCAGGTGATGGCACAGGGCAGAGGCCGCACCCCAGGCCCTCCTGCCACCCCACGGGGTCCTCCCCTGTCTGATGCTGCTGAGCTCTCAGGGTGTCGGGGGGTGGGGCAAAGGACACCCAACCTATTGACCTCGCCCTCAGCTGGGCACATCTGGGATATTCTCCAGGCCACCCAGGACAGGAACACACCCCAAGACAGTGTGAGTAACAAGCAGGAGCTTGGATGCTATTATCAGTAGCCGTCGTTTTTCCCTCCATTCCAAATCAGGACATAGCCTGTGTGGGTGAATTGTTTTTATAAGATCAAGTTAAATCTTTAGCTGTCTTTAAGCTAAAAACAGTGTAGTAAAGAGAAATATATATCCCTTTTCCACACTAAAATAGCACAGTCACTCGGCCCCTGCTTGCCATTGTTTCCGTCTTTGGGACCATCTTGTTCATATTTGTGTTTTCTGGGATTCTTCCACACCCAGTTTCTGGAGACTGAACCCAGGGCCTTGCCCATGCTAGGCAAGTGCTCTGTCCCTAAGCTACATCAATAGCCTCACAACGCTCTTATTTTTTCTTGAGGCAGGGTCTTGCTAGGTTGCCTAGGCTAGCCTCGAACTTGCAATCCTCCTGCCTCAGCCTCTCAAGCAGCTGGGTTTACAGGCAAGTGCCACCACACCCTACCAATATTTATGCTTTATGTTCTCTTTAACAAGTACATTTGAGTTTGCCAGTTTCACACAAGCTGCCTACGTAGCTCTCAGGCTCACCTTTAATGACTGTACGAATTTATAATTAAAGGCCACGCTTTATCATTTTTTGGAGTTGGTTTTATAGGTTTAGCAGCTATTCAACTTGTATTTCTTCTGTTAATGACAGGGTGAGACATTTTCCCAAATGTTGGCTTCCTCTTTTGTTTCCTGTTCATACCCAGTGGAAACTGGGCAGCGCCCTTAAAATAATAATGGTCCTTTCTAATTGCGGGGCAGTTTATCCCGAAAGCACTTTCCTAGGCCTTATCTCGTGCCATTTAGCTTGTGTGTCTCAGTCATCCCCTGGGGGTGCGGGTGGATGGGGCTGGTGGCCTGCACGAAGGGGAGGGTGTGGTTGTGGCTTCGAGTACAGTGGCCACATGCTGCCCTTCCACCTGCTCCCAGCCCACCACTGAGCCACAAGCGACCTTACCCGGCTGGAGGCCCTCAGCCGACTTGGTTTTCCAGGTTCTCCCCCACCCACACCCCTTAGGAGTAAAGGTCACAAGTAGATGTCGCCAAAGCCAGAAGTATGTCCCTGTCTGGCTGCAGCTTTGCGCCCAAGGGCTGTGTTTTGGTTTGGGGACACTCAGCCCTGGCAGCTCACTCAGCCCCCTGGGGAGTTTCTTTTTTTTTTTTTTCTTGTTGGTTTTTCTCCGGTACCGGGAACCGAACTCACGACCTTGCGCTTGCCAGGCAGGCGCTTTTGCCGCTGAGCTAAATCCCCAGCCCCTCCCCTGGGGAGTTTCTAAAAACTGCTGCACAGGGCCCAAGCCCAGGCCACTCAGCCCTCTCTGGAGCGCGCAGTCAGATGCCCGATGTTTCAAAAGCTCCCCTGGGGTGACTGTGCTAGCAGGCCAGGCCTGAGAATCTCTGCCAGGCCCTGGGTTCGACCCCTGGGTCACCCCTGACTTATCATCGCTGTCTTCGCTGAGACTTGCTGAAGGGCCCGGAGGATGAGAGAACGGGCCACCTCTGAGGCCGTCAACCAGAAGTGCCACCCCTGGCGGCCCAGGGCTCTGTAGGTGACACAGGCCCCAGTAACCAAGGAGACGCTGCTGCCACCTCCTCCGGTGTGACCAGCCTGTCCCTGTGCACAGGTGCTTGGTACTTCTACCCCTTTGGACTGCAGACATTGCACCCCGCGGTGGTCTCCTGGTGGGCAGCGAGTGTGAGCAGGAAGCAGCCTGAGGTGTGGGACTCCAGAGACTCAGCCCCGCATCTCCAGGTGAGCACCGAGGTATGGGCTGACCCTGGCCTCGCTGTCCCTGCACCTGGCATGCCTGCCTTATACCTCGCCACAAGCACAGCGTGAGGAGATGCTGTCCTACCGTGATGCCCCTTTCCCTGCTTTCCGGGGTGCAGCTGCTGGGGAGAGGGGGTGCTGCACTTAAACGTATCTCAGAATGGTAAGCAAAAGTTAGCTGTATCCAAAGATCAGAAAACAGAGGCAGAGGACTAATTACTGGTTACTTCATTCCTTTGTTCCCTTTCAGTACAATCTCACCAGGGTTCCCTGAGCCCCTTCCCTGTGTAGCATCATATCCTGCTCCGCATCTGCCATCACAGAGAAACCGCCCTGAACTCTGTGGCCAGAAACCACAAGCATTTGATTGACTCAGGGGTCTAGGTCGGGGTGGCCCTTCTTGTCTGAGCAAGGACAGGGCACGGTGGCTGGGCCCTGTGTGTGTGCTGCGTACAGTTACTTGGCTGGCCGGCCTGGGCCCTTGCAGGGACAGCTGTCCTCCATGGACACTTTGGTCAGCCCCAGGCTCGCCGAGCCTTGCTGTCATGGAAGCCAGGTAGGGTTCCAAGGGAGAGGAGGCGGCCGCACGGCTGCAGAGGGTGCAGACACAGGGAGGAGTGAGGGACGGTGCCAGTTTGACATCTGCCAAGGTCTAAAGAAGGATCTAGGAGCCTGCAGTCCCATGGGGGTGACAAATGACAAGTGGTCACAGAGACAGGATGTGGTATGAGGTCAGGTCACTTAAAACTCTTCACCCCCCAGTTAGAGTTACTTGACCGTGGTTTGCATCCTGCTGGCTTTGATACCACATTTTTAATCACATATTTTTGTGGGTGTTTTCTGAGCATGATCTTATTATCTCATAAAATAAGGACGTACTCTGTCACCTCCATCTTCCCTTTTTCATCATTATATTCAATGTCGGGCACCTTTCCCTGAAGAAGAGGAAGTAAAGCCTGGGCTGCCCTTTGTCTCATTGACATTTGCATAAAGACACTGAGAAAAACAGAGGGGGAGGGGGGGTGGCAAATCAGGGTGGGGGGAGAGTGGTGGAGAGGGTACTGGCTGGGGCTGTTTAAAATATGGGATTTTTGCCGGTTGTGGTATCACACACCTGTGATCCCAGCACTCGGGAGGCTGAGGCAGGAGGATTGCTGGGAATTCAAGGCCAGTGTGAGCTACATAGTGAGACCCTGCTTCAAAAAAAAAAAACAAAAAAAAGGGACTTCTAAAAATCAGAACCTCTGCCAGTCAGTGCTTTAACTTGACTTGATAGTTGATGGATTGTGTCTTATAATTTCCCTCGGGGAAGATTTTGTTCTTTATGCCAACAAGGTCCTCAGAATTCACAGCGCTATCAGATGGCACCCTGAGGTCCAAATGACTGTTCCTCCACCTTGGACATCCAGTTAAAGAGGAAAAAGAAAGCACTTTCAAATGGTGTCCTCTGCTGTGGAAGGAGTGGCCACAGTTGAGAGCCACCAGCTAGAGCTCAGGAGAAAGATAGCAGGCAGCAGCCAGCTGGCCGCCCAGGCTCCTGTGCCTGCCCTGCAGCGTCTCACCCTTTCCTTGGACAGTCCCTGGGCTCAGACCCTCTGCCCTGGCCCCCTTCCCTCCTCTGGGATCCGGCTCTCACAGCTTGTCCTGGGGCCCCGCCTGGCCACCCATGCCTCGCTCTACCAGCACACCCAGCTGGAGCTCTTGTGTCTCCCTGCCCGGTGCAGGCACCCCTGGACTCTCTTTCCCTCTCTGCCTCAGTGGTGGGGCGCCCCATCTCTCATGTGCGCCCCCTTCTTCCCTCCCTGCAGGCAGAGCAGCGCATTCTGTCCCGAGTACACTCCCTGGAGCGGCGCCTGGAGGCCCTGGCTGCCGAGCTTTCCTCCAACTGGCAGAGGGAGTCCATTCGGCTAGAGCGCCTGGAGCTGCGGCAGGGGGCCTCTGGGCAGGGGGGTGGCAGTGGCCTGAGCCACGAGGACACCCTGGCACTCCTGGAGGGGCTGGTGAGCCGCCGGGAGGCTGCCCTGAAGGAGGACTTCCGCAGGGACACTGCCATGCGCATCCAGGTGGGGGAGCCGAGCTACCCGGGGGAGGAGAAAGCGGTGTGCCGCTTATGGGTGACGTCATGCCCGCCTGTGACTGGGTGTGTGGGGCAGAGGGGTCCCCACACGACGCAAAAGAGACTGCATTGTCATTTAGGGTCTGGCAACTCTGCCACTTGGCACTTAGGCTGGCTGGGCCTCAGTTGCCTTCTCTTTAAACGGAGTCTGGAGCTGGGCGTGGTGGCACACGCCTGCAATCCCAGCACTCGGGAGGCTGAGGCAGGAGGATTGCTGCGACTTTGAGGGCAGCCTGGGCTACAAAGTAACTTGTAGGCCAGCCCAAACTGCGTAGTGAGACCCTGTCTGAAAAAGACCAAAAAAAAAAAAAAAACCCAAAAAATGGAGTCTGTCCTATCTCCCTCCTACCCTGAGTTGTGAAGTGCGGGATTGGGAGCACAGCGGTGACGCTGTGTGGGGTTGTGCCACAGAGATCAAGCTGGGCTTTGGCACGTTTCAGAGAAGCTCCATGGCATAAGCCAAGAGCCGAAGCCTGGGAACCAAAGGATCCCTTTTTGAATCCCCGCTAGGCCCCTCCTATTGCAAGCACCCCTCCAAACGCAGCTGTCCAACCTTCATGTCCTCTCCTCCATGTCTGACAGGAAGAAGTGGCCACCGTGAGGGCGGAACATCACCAGGACTCGGAGGACCTCTTCAAGAAGATTGTCCAGGCTTCCCAGGTCAGTGGCCAGGGACCCAGCTTGTACCAGCGTCCTGGCCCATTTCCTCCTCTGTCTTTGGACTGTGACACCCCTGGGACCTTTGGTCCTCGCAGGAGGACTCCTGGGACCCTGAGTGGGAGGGCTGTGTCCCTGTGTGAGCTCAGCTGCCCGTGAGGTGCTCCGCAGGGCGGGGATGGCTGTCATGCCCGATGCGCCCATGCTGGACTGGCACATGTGGGGCGAGACTTTCAGAGACTTCAGCCAGGAAGCCAGCTCGCGGTCTGTCACAGGGGCTGGTTGACCCTGGCCCAGCATGTGGTTAAGCAGAGACCCCGGTGGAGAGCAGGTCCTCCCCGGGAGACCGTGTTCCCTGAGCCCAGTATGTCTTATACTTGTTCCTTCCTGTCCCAGGAGTCTGAGGCGCGCATCCAGCAGCTCAAGTCAGAGTGGCAGAGGTAAGCACCCCACCGTCTGTCCTAAACCACCCTGCACCCCTCGCTGGGCAGATCTGGGAGCAGACCCCAGAGTGGGTTCTGACTGTCCCACCCAGCTGGGAAGGTGGCTGAGGTGGCCAATCTGAGGCGCAGCCGAGGGCAGTGTGGGAGGTTAGAGGCCAGAGGCGGGCATTGCAGTGAGATGCAGACCTGGCTGACGGCCACTGCCTTCTCTGTATGGCCTCATGCTAGCAGCATGGCCTCCTCACAGCCCATATATCCATACTTGGGGAGGTAGAGAGGCTGTGGCAAAAGGAATTACAGACTCTGGACATAGAGGGAACCAAATCAGAATTCGCACTGGGCCAGACAAGCTAGGGCCAAGGCTCCTGGGAGAGCTAGACCCCCGAGAGCAGGCCTTGCCCCTCACGCTCACGGTGGGCACACACAGTGTGACGGAGGCCAGCCAGGGTGTCCTCGTTCTTCCTCAGCTCGACCTCACCCTATCCCCTTACTCCTCTCCCTCTGGGGCCAGGATGACCCAGGAGGCCATCCGGGAGAACTCTGCGCAGGAGCTGGGGCGGCTGGAGGCCCAGCTGGCCGGCCTGCGGCAGGAGCTGGCGGCTCTGACCCTGAAGCAGAGCTCATTGGAGGACGAAGTGGGGCTGCTGCCTCAGAAGATCAAGGCCATGAGGGAGGAAGTGAGTGTGAAGCGTGAGAGGCCCCCGCCGCAGACCCCCTTGTCAAGAGCCCGCCCTGGGTGTGCACAGCAGGGGCCTCTTAGCCCTGCCTGTTATTCCCAGGAGGCTGCTGCAGAGCTGGACATGACACAGGCGTGGGCTTTGTGGCAGGAGTGCTTCCTGTTTCTCATGGGTGCCCGGGGAGAGCTCCTAACCCTTTCCTCTGTGGGACCCCCTCAGACCCCGCTCCCCAGCTGAGCTCACCCCACTTGGCTGGCCTGGCCAGAGCAGCCCTGTGGTTCCTGCAAGCCTCCCAGTGACAGTGTCTTGTCCCTAGGTGGAATCTCAGTTCCCCGCCTGGGTCGGTCACTTCCTCCTGCAAGGTGGGGGTGCCCGCGCCGGGCTCCTCCAGAGAGAGGAGGTACAAGCTCAGCTGCAGGAACTGGAGAGCAAGATCCTTGCCCACGTGACCGAGATGCAGGGCAAGTCAGCTCAGGAGGCCGCAGCCTTGCTGGGACGGACACTGCAAAAAGAAGGCGTGGTCGGGGTGACAGAGGAGGTGAGCAGCAAGCGCACTCCATAGACATGCTGCTGTCCCCCCAGGACGGTTTATTCCAAGACACAAGTGACACACAGGAAGTCACTTTTGTCGGCTTTGGGCCACTGTGGGTGGTGGCGTGCTGTTACCCGGCGCCAGCATGGTGCCTGCCCAGTGGGGTGACCCGTGGGGAGCCAGTCCAGGGCAGTGGGACATGTGCTTCCCATTGAGACTGTCTCCCGGGCCTGTTTTAGCAGGTGCACCGGATCGTAAAGCAGGCCCTGCAGCGCTACAGCGAGGACCGCATCGGGATGGTGGACTACGCGCTGGAATCAGGAGGTTTGTGCGCAGCCTTGTCCTTCGCCTTGTCCTGGTCTGCACAATAGCTGGGCCTCTGGCATTTGCCAGGCAGCCATGGTGCTAAGCAGGAAGAGTGTGGAGTCCACACAGAACCCCCAACCTAGACTGAGCCAGGGTGACAGCTCAGGAAGCCAGGAGGTACCAAGCCGCACCCGGCGGGAAGAGGCTGACGTCCGTGGGTCAGGGTCTGGGCAGCTGCCCTCTGCACTCACCGAGGATCCTGGCAGTGGCAGGCCCTCCTCTGGCTGCGTCAGCCCTTCGTGCTGGGTTCCTGTGGTTGGCACCCTGAGCTGGCTGGCTGTGGGTGCCCACCTGCCTTTCTTCCCCATGTCAGGGGCCAGCGTTATCAGTACCCGATGTTCAGAGACCTACGAGACCAAGACTGCCCTCCTCAGCCTCTTTGGCATCCCACTGTGGTACCACTCCCAGTCACCCCGGGTCATTCTCCAGGTAGGCACCCAGTGGGGACCCCGCAACGGCTCTGAACACATGGGGGACAGCTCTGCTGGGTCAGCCAGAGCTGGACTCGGGCCCTGACCTACCTTGCCTTCCATGTCCTCCAGCCAGACGTGCACCCCGGCAACTGCTGGGCCTTCCAGGGACCCCAGGGGTTCGCTGTGGTCCGTCTCTCTGCTCGCATCCGGCCCACGGCTGTCACCTTAGAACACGTCCCCAAGGCCCTGTCACCCAACAGCACCATCTCCAGTGCCCCCAAGGACTTTTCCATCTTCGTGAGTACCCGGCCCGTGTGGGCTGGAAGCACTGCAGGAGGAGCCTGTGGGTCTCTGCATGATGAAGATAGGGTCCCTTTGGCTGGGAGGGAGGGGAGCAGATTGGGAGAGGTGGGGCCAGATTGAGAGATGGCCAAGTTCAATCCCACTTGTCCCAGGCTACAGAGCAAGAAACTGAGGCACGAGAGTTAAGTGATCCTTACAGGCCACAGGGCAGCCCTGTGGTAGCCATGGCCAGCGCCCAGACCAGACCCCCGGAAGCTCTGCTGAACCTGGGGCTGGGACCGAGTCAGCACCACCGTCCTCGCGCCTCTCCCTCCATCCCTTCCACTCTTTTGCAGGGCTTTGATGAAGACCTGCAGCAAGAGGGCACGCTTCTTGGCACGTTCACCTACGATCAGGATGGGGAGCCCATTCAGACCTTCTACTTCCAGGTACAGGACAGTGGCACCAGTGAGATGGCACCTTGCTTTTCCATCTGGGCACCAGATGTTTCCCCGGGCACTCGTCCTGCCAGGCATAGGGTTCAGAAAGAGACGCAGGCCCTCCTGCCTGTAGGTACAGAAGTGGAGATGTCACACCCTGTAGATGGCACCCAGGAGGGCGTCTTCCAGAAGCACAGTGTCCGGAGCTTCCTGAAGCAAGGCGCCCGCCCCCCCCACAAGAGTTTTAGGAAAGAAGGGTTGAGGTTACCAGGAAACACAACTGTGAAGGGTGTTCTGGAGAGAGAGGCCAGCAATGCCAGGGCATGGCCAGCTGGGAGCGCAGGCAGTGGCTGTGGCTTAAGCTTGAGTGGGCATCGGGTCTCCTGGGTTAGAAATGCAGATCCCCAGGCCCTACCGGAGAGTGATTCCTCAGGGCTGACGACACCTGGGAGCCTGCATTCAACCAAACCACCCAGAAGAGGGCGAGGCAGTTGAGGAAGGGGGAATTGTAGGAGGTGGAGAGGAGACAGTGGCAGGGAGAGGCCCGAGGCAGGAATTCTAGGTCTGGGGCTGGGGGTATGACATTGGCACGTCCTAGGTGACAGGACCATGTGCGTGTTATTAAGGTCAACTGTGGATGGAAGGGGACAAGCCTGGAGCCTGGGTGCAGGGTCCGGAAGTGGGGTCCGGAAGTGGGGTCCGGAAGTGGTTGCAGGGAAGTGGGCCAGAAAGGCTGAGGTCGGAGGGGATGTGGGGAGTGAGTCTGGGACAGCTGGGAGGCCCTGAATGTCAGGCTAGGGGAACAGGAGGAGCAGGGGACAGCTCACAGGCTACCAGCATCAGGGCTGGAGCCAGTGCCGAGAGGGGCTGACGCAGGGCCGGGGAGTGGCTTACCCACCACGTCCGGCCACCTGCGGGACCATCTGGTGGCACAGAGAGGAACTAGACTAGACGTAAGCCTTCTGGGCCCAGACACGGCCGTCTCCCCAGCCCCCTTCTCGGCCAGCGAGGTCTCAAAGGGTCCATGACACTCTGAACCCCTATCTCTATCCAGACCCCTAAAATGGCCGCGTACCAAGTGGTGGAGCTGCGGATCCTGACCAACTGGGGCCACCCTGAGTACACCTGCATCTACCGCTTCCGGGTGCACGGGGAGCCCTCCCACTAGCCCCGAATCTCTGCCTGCTGCCAGCCAGGGGCCACAGCCTTCCCTGCACACACTCTGCTCCAGGACAGGCGCGCAGCGCCCCACCGCTGCCCCCGCACGCTTGACCAGCGCTCTGACTTCTGGGGGCAAGAAAGAAGAGCCTGGCCCCAGGGAGAAGAGAAAGCAAGCACCGGGTCCCCTGCACCCTCCGCCCCCCGACTGGGCCGCCGAGTGTACATACGTAGCATGCTGTAGGGGCTGGGAGGCAGGAGGTGAGGCCTGCCCCGACCCACGTGGAAGTGTGTGGGTGAAGCAGGTGCCCGGCCCAGGTGGGTGGAGCCAGGGCCTCGGGAGGTGCATGGTGCCCTGCTCAGTCAGGGAAGCACCGCCCTGGAGGAGCCTGCTCAGTACCTGTAGGCTGGGACTGTCCCCGGGGCAGGAGACCCCCTGCAAGGCTGGTGCCAGTGGCCCGGGGAAGCCGGCCCCCCAGGACCGCCAAGGGTCTCTAGAAGCTGAATTTGTCCAGGGTATTGGAGGGCTGCCACCTGTGCCAGCCTGTAGGATCCCCTTTGCTGGGATGGCCTTTGCTTTTTCTCTGCGGATGCCAGGGTGAGGGCTGCCCTGCAGTGTTCCTCAGTGGGCCTGGCTGTGCCCCGGAGCAAGCTTCACACATTCCCCAGGCTATGGGTTGCCCAGGCCTGTCTGGGGGCGGGGAGCAGGGGGCTTCCTGGCCTCTCCTGGTCAGTGATGATGACAGTGTCATTCAGGATGTCAGGTGGAGGGAGGGCTGTCTGTATTGGCCCACTGCCCCCTTAAGCGGGCCTAGGGAGGGCTCTTTCTCAGGCTCCCCCTTGGGCTCTCTGCTCCCCCTCAGATGTTTCCTTTCTGGCTCCTCTGCAGGGGCAGTTGGGTGGGAGCTGGGCGGGATGTGGAGGAAAGGGGCTTTTAGACCAACAGGCCCTGCTGTATTATGTATATATTTTTCAAGGTCTGTTTTTTAACTGAAAAGCTAAGGGCTTGATTCTTAGCCCCGTTCTGTGGGGCACCGGGTGGTTCCCAGTTCCTTGGTCCCAGCCTGTGGGGAGGGGGACGAGGGGCTGTGGGCAGGCGGGTGCCCAGCGCCTTACAGGACCGGGCCCCGCTCAGCCCTGTCTCCGCTCAGCCCTGTCCCTGCCCCGAGACGACCAGGTCTTACTCTGCGCTCTCCTGTCACAATGCTGCACTGTTGGTTCTTAATTTTTTTAATCTCCAGATTCTAATTTATGCCTATGCAAAAAATAAAGGATGCCCAGGATCAGTGGAATATGGTTTTTATGTGGGCTTTACACAGGGCAGCTGCTCTCGGGGAAATGAGAGAATGGATTCTTGGCCAAGCCCATGTCCCCAAGGGCTAAAGGACCCGCACCCAGGACTTTGGGTTATAGCCCAGGTGTAATAGGGTTGGAACCAATGCTGCAAGGCCTAAGGCTGGGAGGAGGAAGTGAGCTGGCTTTACGAGCTGTCACTAAGGCCCCATAGGGAGGAGGCCCTTCCAGTACTGTGCCAGTGAAGAGGCAGAAAGTCATGCCAACCATGGACCCTGTCCACCTTACTCACAACTCCTCCATGGGTCCTGGACCTGCAGCAGGGAGGACACAGGAAGTGAGTACCCTGATGCACCAGGATCTGCTGGCTCAGAAGGAGCAGGTCCTGACCTTCCTGGAAAACAGCTGCCCAGACTCAGCTCAGGGACAGTTCCCTAGCTCTCACACTAACCAAGGCACCTTGCCCAGGGCTGGGCCTGGCCATGGCTGAGAAAATACAGGCAGGAACCAGCAGCAGGGACGAGTGGGCAGCCAGCCAGTGCCAGGTCAGGGCGGCAGGAGGGCAAGTCCAGTGGAACCTTTGGGTCCAGAGTGCCAGGACAGAGCTGGACCCACACTCGCTCCTGGCTCTGCCTCTGCCTGAACCGTTTGCTAATAAAGGAGACATCATCCTGGAGCAGGAAAGGCCGATAAACAAGTCCCCGGAACTTGTACACCAGGATGCAGTCTGCTGCTCTCTCCATGTGCAGATCCTGCTGGCCCACGGCGGGCCTCCCCAACCTCACCCAACACCCGCGTTCTATGCATGGGGCCCACTCCTCTCACTTCATCTCACTCCGTGCCAGGCACAAGTGAGCCAGGTAGGCTGTGGTGGGGATCTGGTCACCCGCCCCATCCCAGCCAGGGCCTCCTCCTGGCTAGATGCCAAAGCGCCTTTCTGCTGCAAGGCCAGGTCAGGCCTTGCCATCCGAGAGCAACAACTTTATTCTGCCAGCCACAAGTGGCTGAGGTTTTGTTCCGGTGCCTGGTGAGGAAGGCCAGGACCTTTGCAGTCTGTGACCCACACTGAAATGCTGAATTCACTCAGCTTTCTGCTGACTGATGTGGGCCAAGGGCTTAGAGCCACCCTCGAGTGTCTGAGGAGAGGCCAGGGTGGTAGCCAGAGCTCCCGAAAACAAACGATGGTTGTAGCGAGCACCACTGCATACAGGGGCAGCAGTCAAACCAGAGCTGGCTCCACCACGGCTCAGCCATGACCCCCGCTGCTCCAAGGCACTCGGTGCGGCCCTCTCATTAGGGCACCAGCCTAAACCAGCCAGAGCCCACAGAGCAACGCAGGCAGGAAGCAGCCAACAGACACAGGTGGCAGGAGCCACGGACAGGGCTCAACCAGCAGCACAGAGCTAACGATTCCCGCCTCGGACACGGAAGCTGTCACAGACCATGATGCAGAGTCCACCTGGTCGCCACAGCCACACACCAGCCCTGTCAGTGCCTCCACCTCTCTCCAGCCAGCCAGCGCCAGGCCCCCTGCATGCGCTCTGCACACCCTGGTGGAGGGTCTGCCTCTTGCTGTAGATGAGGACGCAGGGTCCCGGAAAGCTGCCAAGCTGTCCTGTGTCACGCAGCTTGTTATGGTTTGTGTCTAGATGTTTTTTCAGAGGCAGCTGAATCTAGACGGTGTGATTGAGTCACAGTGCAATGCTAGGAATAAGGGTGGGTGATTGCTGGATCAGTCCACTGACTGGACTGGCACCACCCTAAGCCTGGTAGACTCCCTACAATACAAGGGACAGAAAGAGGCTTGTCTTGCTCTTTTTGTCTTACTGCTTTTGTGGTCTGCTGCCATGAATGGTTGCCCCCGTCACGTGCCACCCTGCCTTGGAGCCAGCTGATTATGGACTGAAATCTCTACCAAGTGTGAGCTAAATAAACCTTTCCTCCCTTAACTTTGGGCATCGAATATTTTGTCTCAGCAATGAGAGAAAAGTACTGAAAACACAGGTCAAGCTGAGCAGCTGCGCAGGCACTCGAGCGCAGACCGGCCAGAGTCCCTGTGGTAGCTCCTCCACCTGGAGGGCCAGGCAGGGAACATGACGCTGTCAGCTTGGAACAAACTTTTATTGTGAGTGCTGGTCTGGTCAGTCCATGGCCGTGCGGCAGTGGTAACTAGAAACAGTTGAAAGGAGGGGAGAGGGGACCAGCAGTCGGGAGCAGAGGACAGGAAGGGGGCGGGGACGGGAAGGAGGCGAGGCTGAAGAAGGACCCAGCCAGCTGGGTGTCTGCCCTGGCTAGAGAAGGAAATCATGCCCACCAGTCACCCTAAAGGGAGGGCTGCGGGGCAGAGCCCGGTCCAGGACAGCCGAGGCCGCTGCCACTCTGGCCCGCACAGCCCACCCTACCCCGCCCCAGGTGCGGTGCTCCTCAGTGCTAAGTGCTCCGTGTCGGGCCTCGCCGCCCGCATCCTGCCACCCCCATCCCAGTCAGGCTCCAGACCAGGCCGGGGCCTGGACTGCTGTGCTCCTGCAGCGGCTGGGCTGGGCTGAGGTGGGCACGGAGGGGGCCCCAAGAAGGACCCCTCCCTACCAACTGGAGGTGCTAGGACACCCAGTTGCGAGCAGCCCAGATCCAGTCTAGTAATCCAGTGCCCTGAGGCCCAAGAAAAGGCCAACGTCCTAGCAGGAGGAGGTGGAAGGGGTGGCAAGCAACTGGCCTCGAGCTGGGCAGATGGGCAGCAAAGGCAATAGCCAGGGCCAGCCCAGGCAAACACAGGATTGTCTCCAGGGGAGGCCCAGCAGGTGCCCTGGCTCGGGGCACAGGGCCGCACCGGGGTGGGATGAGTCCTACAGCGCAGGCACGACTCCCTCACTCACAGATACTACTGAGGAGCTTTTGGCATCACCCGTTTGAGGGTTTAGGGGAAGAGGCGAGAGACAAGGGGAAGCCACTGTCTCCTCCCTGTTAACCTCCCAAGTCCTAGACTCGTTCCCTTGGGTTCCCCGCCCATCCAGACGGATCCCAGACGCCGGAGAAGCCAAGGCAGAGGGCCCTGCAGCGGTGGGAGAAGCAGTGAGAAGGGAGGTGGCCTTCAGCTCCTGATGTCCCCTACAGCCTCTGAGGGTGTCATCAAGACAGACACATGGACGGGCAGATGGACGGATGGGAAGGCCAGCCATGGAGGAGGGAAGGACAGGGCCCTGGCCGCCGCCACACTCCTAGGCCTCACACACACAGCACGCTGAACAGAGAGACAGAGGTATATAATAAAAAGAATAAAAACTAAGGGCCCAGATGTACAAAAGATGTGTGAGTGAGGAAGGAGGCGGGAGAGGGCAGGAGACAGTCAGTCCTCGCGAAGTCTGGCCACCTTCCTCATTTATAAATTACAGCCCCCCTGCAAAACGGGGGTGGAGCAACAGAGAGGCTCTGCTGTGGCCTGGGAGTGGGCAGGTGCGGGCAGCACTGCTCTGCCCAGCTGGTGAGTGGTGGCCAGAGTGAGGATCCCTGGGTGGCAGGCTGGGCTGGGGAAGCTTCAGCAGCCGCTGGCGGGAGTCACACAGGCCCCCTGGGACTTCACCTTGTGGCGCTGGCCCCCTCGTCGTCGGCCCCCACTGCTGGGCTTGGGCTGAAACACAGAAAGGAGAAGCTTGAGAAGCGCTGTCCCTCAGGACAGGGTAGGGCAGCAGGGGCCAGGCAGAGGGGAGGCAGCATGGCCTGTAGTCTGTGGGGTGACCGTGCCCACCATACCCCGTCTATGAAATAGAGCCTTCCTTGCAGGGCAGGGCAAGGGCATACACACGGACACATGCACACACACGCGCATGCACACACACACAGTAATGGTGCGGGGCCCTTCAGAGAAGCACAAAGTCACGAATGCATCAACAATTGCCACTGCTGCCTGGAAAGAACAAAAGTGACGGAACCAGAGGAAACAATATGCTCGGTGGCAGGTGATGCATGTCACTGCGACACACACATCCAGAAGCCTCTTTCTCCAAAGGGATCTGAGGAGGAAGAGACACTGCGGAGAGGTGCACAAGGGGCCACCCTTTGCCAGGCCAGGCCAGGCACAGTCCTGGGGAGTGGGCCACACTGCAACTGCCCAGACCGCCTCTCTGCATGCCAGGAGGGGCCGTGGCAGGACCTGTAAGGCAGTGTCTCTCAGCCCTGGACTCATACACACATGAGCCACTCTCAACACTATGTCTACTCTTACTGTGAAAGAGATACTTCGCATTTGCTATTCTACTTCATTTCATTACAACTAAATAGTAGACAGGACCAACTACACCGATGTGACATGGGCCACACCTCAGCAGGAGCAACACGCCCTCCCGCCCAGGGCCCCTGCTCACCTGGGGCTGCAGACCACTGGACACACTTGGCTGCCCGGCACCTAGAGATGAGGCTTCATCCCCAGGAGGGGCTGCCCCTGCTGCCACTGGCCCACCGGATGGCCCTGCTTCTTCCCGTTTGGATAGTGGGCCCTTTTTCGTTGACTGCATTTTAATCTGCTGGGGCTTGGAGTTCATCGGGGAGTTGTTAGTGGTCTGGAGCAGCTGTAGGAGCCAAGGAGGTGAGGGTGAGGCCAGAGCTGCAGAGCAATGGTGTCCACAGCCCACTCAGGTCCCATCCCCTTCTCTCGGGGAACTTCACTCTCTGGCCTGGCTGGTCCTATGCAGGGTGCATGGCAGGATGGCAGTGGCAGAGAGCAGGCAGGAGAAGTATGTGCACCCGTCTGAGTCTAAGACTGCAGAGCTTCAGGGCAGTCTCCTTCCTTCTCACCTCCCTTAGACAGATCCACCCCATTCCCATTCCCTGGCCCAGCACGGGCCTGCAGAGAACTCCCTGGACCTCTCTGCTGCCTCCCAGCCCATCTCCCAGGCTGTATACAACCTGCCCAACCTACTCTGGGCCGACTTGAACCTTAGGCCTTCCGCAGAGACCAAAAGAACAACTCATCATCTAAAAACACACGGAGTCCGTGAGAAATCTTAAAAAACTACCACCCAGGCTAGCCATGGTGGCACATGCCCCTAACCCCAGCACTATCGGGAGGCTGAGGCAGGAGGACTACCATGAATTCAAGGCCAGCTGGCATTACAGAGCAAGTTCAAGGCTAGCCTGAACTACAAAGCAAGACCCTGTCTCCAAAATGAAACAACAGGGGCTGGGACTTTAGCTCAGCAGCACAGCACCTGCCTGGCAAGTGCAAGATCATGAGTTCGATTCCCGGTACCAGAAAAAGAAAAAAAAAAAAATGAAACAACAAAAAAAGCTAGCACTCAGTAGAAACTGTCTTGGAATCTTCCCTTGGGGTTTAAATTCAGTCCCAAACATAGTAGGGAGGAGTCCCAGCCAAGTCCCAGAAAATGCAACAACGCATGCTGAGCTTCCCGCACATTCCCCACCAGTCCCTGATGCCGATTAGATCTCGGACACTTGGAAACTACATCTTCCTCATTCCCAGCAGGGGCCAAAGCCTCCACCAAATGCCCCACCCATGCCAGGGGCGAGGTCTGCAGAGGGCAAAGTGGGCTTCAGGACAGACACAGAGCTCAAGCTCCAGGGAATCCATACCCATGGCCTGTGCTGCCCAGCACTCACTCAACCAGACCCACTGTGCTGTAGGGACAGGAGCCAGAGCTGGCACCTTGGAGGGGGACCCTGACTAGGCCCAGAACACTCAGCCCCACTGTTCCCCAGGAGGAGATGCTGGGACCCAATCCCAGCTTCTTTCCTCCAAAGCCACTACCAAAGTCTAGGACAGGAGACCCAGGGACCCCCCCTGCAGCACGAAAGAAGATGGTACAGAAGCCACATCTCAGGAATGACCCAGCCCTGTCCAGGGAGGGTGCGGGGGAGAGAGACTTGCTAGGGTTCTCAGGAGGAGCTCAAGGTCACAGTTATCCTGCTGGACTGGCCCCTGGTACATCCCGGGGCAGGTGACATAGGTCCAGGCCATACCTTGGTGATGGTGCCAACAGCCTTGGTGCGGCCTTCTCGGAACACCAGCCGCTGGTCTATGTGTAGGTACTCTGGGGTCTTGATGAAGCGGAAGTGGACAGTGGCCTTGTCCCCAGTACGCAGACAGTCCTTGTCCATGCTCAGAATGGTGGCCGTCTGCCTGATACTCCCACAGTGCACTGCCAAGGGAGCAGGAGGTCAGGACAGGCTTGGGGCGCTCTGTGGCGTCAGGACAAGGGGACAGTGAGTAAAGGCATGAAATACGCTTGAGCTGCAGCGCGAGGGGCTCATTTCTGGAGTCAAAGCCCACAAGGAGCTGTAGGGGGCAACTAGAGGCCTGCGCTCAGCCTGAGCCTGCTCAGCATTCCCCTTCCTCCAGCTGCACCTGTGCGCCCACCCCACACCCTAGTTCTGGGGATTAGGGGGCGCTGTGTCTGCACGTGCGCCTCCGAACTGGATGGTAAGCCCTGTGTCATCTTTGTCCCAGCACCTCGGTCACACTGGTAGGCACACTGCAGCGCTCAGCTATGGTGTGCTGAGGCGTGAGGACAGGTCTGGGTCTTGGAGCCCTCAGGGACCACCTGCACACCAACTCAACACTGCAGCTCACAGCTCCGAGGGACAGGATGGGGATGTGGACCTGCTCTTGGCTGAAGCTGGATCACTTTTTGGTAGGAGCTGCGGGAGCGTGGCGCTGGGCTGTAAGTCCAGAAACACATACCCATGGCCTGGTAGCGTGGGCTAATCGTGGTAGGGTGGTGGAGGACAAGAATCTCGGCCTCAAATTCCCAGGATGCTTGGGGATTCAAACGAGGGGAAACCATCACCATGCCCTTCCGGATGGATGAGCGCTTGATCTGAAAAAAAGAGGAGACACACAGGCACAGTGATGCCTTCTGCTTTTGCCCCTGGTCCTGGAGAACCAAGACTCTTCCTAGGAACAGGGACCACCCACCTCAGCCCTGCCCTCGTCACCTTCTGGGGCAGCCCGAACAAGGCACGCTTGGCACTGCATGGGAAGCTACCTACTGCCACTGAGGCACAAAAAGTCTTCGAGCAGAACTGGCACTTCAGCTGCTGGGCCTTGAGGGATGGGCAAGGAGCCAAGACAAACAAGCATTCGGGTGGGGGGAATGGGGTGAGAGTGAGGTGACCACTGAGGGAACACAACGGGTCCCACTTTTCCTGGGTAATTTGGTTGTCAGGGAGGTAGATGACCCCAGAGCTAGCAGGGACCCCAAAGCCCAGGAGATAAGAGACTAAACAGGAGTCCTACGAAGCAGGGTCCTAAGTAGCAGGGCGCTGTGCCCAGCAGGGATAGTCCTGTCTGACCTCAGCGGGAGGCTCAGGAGGCTGTGTGTAGTGGGCAAGATCCAGGTCTCCTTACCCGTAAGAATGAGCTTGGTAACGCCACCCAGCAGAGCAGCCCCAAGAACCAGACAGGGCGAAAAGTGCCCAGCCAGAGCCGCACACGATGAAGCCCAGGGAGCTCTGGTGCCAACCACACTCACCTTCTTCAGTGCGAAGGAGGCCGTCTGGCCCCCACGCACCTCCTTGACGGGCATGCGCTTGCGATGAATGGACTTGACAGCGATGGACAGGAAGTTCCCCAAGGGGTCCGGGCCCAGCAGCAGCGTGTCATTCAGCTTGATCAGGCCCCGCAGTGTCGTCCCTGACACCACTGTCCCCACACCCTGCCGAGGAGAAGATGCCAGCCTAGTAAGTCCATCCTTACCACAGATGGGACCCTGATGCCCACCAGGCACCCACCCCGCTCAGTCCCACCCGAAGCTGCTCACTGGGACAGAGTAGGTGTCGTCGATCTGGAACTCAGCAGGCTCTTCCTCCCTGTAGCTGGTGCGGGGTGACAGGAGGTTGAGGAACATCTTCAGCAGATCTAGGTTCTCGCCTGTAACGTTAGAGATCTGGAATATTGGGCACATCCTAAGTGGAAGGGAAGAGAAGGAGGAAGGGAGAGAGGAGCTCAGGTGGCTGGCTCCTGCCCTAACCTGCCAGCAGCTCCTCCTGACACCCTAGCTTCTGCCCAGGCCAGCATCTCCCAGCCAGTCCTGCCCTGCGGCCTTCTCTTAGTGTCTTCCCGAAACCTGGCCCCTCCAGCCTCTTCCCCGACACTGCCCTCAGACCCACCTCTTCCTCCGGCGCACACGCTTTCCACCCCCACCGCCTCTCCATCACCAGGAGACAGCAGAATTCCTTCTCCCCACAGTCATGGCCCTTTGAACTCGGGCCTGTCCTCAGCCCCATATCCCAGCCTACCACACACTGTCCCTTCCCAAAAGCCACATGGTCCCATCCCACACATACATATGCTCACTCTGATCTCCGTCCTGAATTCCTTTCCTTTTATCCAACACCAACCCTTCTCATCCTCTACAGTTCATCTCAAATACCACCTCGTCCTCGAAACCCTTCCTGGCTGAGTCTTCTCAACCTCTTGGGGGCAGGTACTTCTGCCTGGTACCATGCTACATCCTACTTTCCATCAGCTATTTACGTGGCCTCTATCCTCTCATCAGAGTGAAGGAAACCCCCTGGGGTCAGGAATTACATATTCCCCATAACTGCTACAACAGTGCCTACACAGACACTCAGCAAAGTGCCTGAGCTGGCCTGCCAGGCTTTCTGAAACGTGCCCCCTCTGCTGGCCACCTGGTGGTACTAAGGACGGCCCAGGCTAGAGGCACCGCCAGAAGACTGGGCAACAGACCAAGGCCTCAGGCAGATGGCTGCCAATGAGGCCACAGCTCTGGGCAAAGCCTTTAACCAAGTTCAGCATTAACAAGGGTATCTCCAACCAAGACAGATCCCCTGAAGACTGCGCTCCATTCACTTCTGGATGATGAACAACATCTAGTAAATATTTATGGAAATGAAAAGATACATTCATGGGTAAGTGCCTAAACTGACCTGTGATTAGAAAGCTTTCAAGAAACAGTAACAAAATTAATTATGAAAATAGCTGTGTGCCGGGTGTGGTGGCGCACGCCTGTAATCTCAGCACTTGGGAGGCTGAGGCAGGAGGATCATTGCAAGTTTGAGGCCAGCCTGGGCTACAAAGTGAACTCAAGGCCAGCCTGAACTGCATAGTGAGACCCTGTCTCAAAAGGACAAAAAAAAAGAAAAAGAAAATGGCTGTGTAATCTGCCAGCCAGGCACAGTGCTAAGCGCCTTACATACATCGTTCAAATACTCACAAGTCAGTATTATTTCCATTTCACAGATGGGGACAATGAAGTCTCAGATGGGATCTCTACCTCAGAGGCTGCATCTCAGACTATGGGTGACTTGATATGGCCTCTGGCAATACTGCTGGCCTGGGGGACCTTGTACTAAGACAGAAACCTTCTATTTCCTCCAACTTCTGACTGGTAAGAAATTTCCGTGAGAACTATGCCTGGATGACAGCCATTCTAGGCCTATCATTGGCCACAGCCCGGAGGGCAAGGGCGCCTGCCTGGAAGCACATGCTGTCCACCCATTACCTCTCAGAGCTGAAGTTGGAGGCTGTAACAATCACATCATCTTTGTTCTGCACCAGGACAGGGATTTTTCGGCAGCCTGGAGACTTCAGCAGGCGCTGTAACAGCTTCAGAGTTTCTTAAAGGGCAAAATGGAACACAATTAGGCTGCACAGCCTTCTCTTTGGCCTGGCTTCCAGGGCGGACAGGCCTGCTCGTTACAGACGCAAGCAGAGGACAGACAGATGAACCAGTGTTAAATGCCACAATGCCGTGCTCGCTTTGGCAGCACATATACTAAAATGCCACAATACCTAGAAAAGCAAAAGGCAGGAGCAGTAATCTGGGTGGGTACGTGCTGCTGGAATAGGAGAGCACAAATGAGGCCTCCTTTCCAAGGCTGTGCATCTGAAAGCTGGCAGATTCCTCCAGAGTCTCCAGGAGACCCACATCCTGCAGACAGGTGATTCGGGGGTCCTTGGGAGGAGCCAATGTTCTTTCCAAAATGCTCTGCTTCTGGAGCGAATACCCCCTCTGACAAAAAGATCTCTTGAATGCTGAGAAGTCTGCAGAGGCACTTGTTATGACGCCTCCTAGCAAAACAATCTGCAACAGCAAAGAGGGCCATGAAGGCCTACTGCTGTGAGCCTGTGTGGACACTTGGCTAATAAAAGGTCATCAGTCATCTGCCCAAAGGCCTCTGTATATGTCCGGCTTGGATGGTACTAATGCCTGCCACCAGGGTGATCTGACAAGAGTTACCAAGTCAGGGAATCTCAACATACCATACTTGGGATCAGAAGGAACAAAGAATAGAGGAAACTTCTACGCTATGCTTAGGTCAAGAGCTAAACAGGGGCAGAAGAGGCATAAGATTCTGGGTTGAGAGAAATCCAGGCCAAGGTCTGAGCACAAGACAGGGAAACAAGATCCTGGGCCGAAGCCCTGGCAACTGATTGCCCTAGGGGACGAGGGAGGGTGCTGCCACTAGAGGCGGCACTTACCTTGCAGGATGTTGGCGGGACACATGTCAATCTTGGTGACCACCACAAAGACGGGTACATTGAGTGCCAATGCCAACCCCAGGTGCTCCTTGGTCATCCCCACGATACCAGCATTGCTGCCCACCTGCCCCAATACAGAAAGGGATTGTCAGGAAGGGGCAGAGGTACAGGCTGTTGTTAGGTGGACACGGGGCTCAAAGGCAGCTACCCACACCCACAAAAGCTGGGCTGGGCACAGACCACCTGGACCTACACTCAGCAATGTGGACCACAAAAGCATGAGGAGACTTGTAAACAAGACAGACGATAAAACCAGACAGTCCAGTCAAGCATGGAGGCGCATGCCTACATAGTAACTTCAAGGTCAGCCTGAATTACAAAGTGAGAGGCAGTCTCATAAACTCAAAAAGCAATCCCCCCCACAAAAACCCCCCAAAACAAAAAACCCCAACAACAATAAAAAGTCAGACAGTCTAGGGGAAAAATTTTACAGTCCTCAAAGTGGGTTAAGCTTAACATCCCTGGCCCCCAGTTTCCCCATCTGTAAAGGAGGGAGATAACAATCTATTTCACAGCCCCAATCAAAAATACCAACAGCATTCCTCATAGATCTAGAGAAAACAATCCTAACATTCATAGGGAACCAAAGAGACCCAGAATAGCAAAAGCAATCAGGGTAACAAAAGCAGAGCAGGAGGCATCACAATCCTAGATCTGAAGTTATATTACAAAGCTACCGTGATAAAAAGCATGGTACTGGCACAAAATCAGACACGTGGGCTGGGCATGGCAGCACAAGCCTGTCATCCCAGCACTTGGCAGGCTGAGGCAGGAGATTACTGTGCGTTTGAGACCACCTTGAGCTACCTAGTGAGTTAAAAGACCAGCCTGAACTACACAGAGACACCCTGTCTCAAAAAACAAAACAAAACAAAACAAAACAATCAGACATGTGGGTCAATGGAACAGAATACAGGAAGGAGAAACAACTCCAGGTATGGGCCGGGCATGGTGGCACATGCCTATAATCCCAGCACTCGGGAGGCTGAGGCAGGCGGATCGTTGTGAGTTCGAGACCAGCCTGGGCCACAAAGTGAGCTCAAGGCCAAGCTAAGCTGCAAAGTGAGACCCCGTCTCAAAAAGACAAAAACAAAAAAACAAAAAAAAAAACTCCAGGTATGTTCAGCCATTTGATCTTTGACAAAGGGGCCAAAAATATACACTAGAGTGTCTTCCTCTTTAATAAAGAGCACAGGAAAACTGGATATCCACATGTAGAAAACTGAGTCTAGACCCTTATGTCTCACTATGTAGTAAATTATAATTAAAAGTGGATCAAAGAGCTAAATGTTAAAACAGAAACAATCTGCTGAAAGATAAAACAGGGAAGACTCTTGAAGGTGTAAGTGTAGGGAAGGACTTTCTGAACACAATCCCACTCGTACAAGAAATAATACTGAGAATAAACAAATGGGATCATATCAAATTACAAAGCTTCTACATAGCAAAACAACCAACAGAGTGAAGAGACAACCCACAGAATAGGAAAAAATACCTGCCTGCTATTCCTTGGACACGTGGACTGGGCATGGCAGCCTGGACACGTGGACTGGGCATGGCAGCTTAGCTTGGCCTTGAGCTCACTTTGTGGCCCAGGCTGGTCTCGAACTCACAACGATCCGCCTGCCTCAGCCTCCCGAGTGCTGGGATTATAGGCATGTGCCACCATGCCCGGCCCATACCTGGAGTTGTTTCTCCTTCCTGTATTCTGTTCCATTGACCCACATGTCTGATTTGTTTTGGACAGAGGACTAAAATCTAGAATATACAAAGAACTCAAAAAAATTACACCTCCCACCAAAATAAAAGACCAAAAATTAAACCTCCTACCAATTTGAGAAAGATTGCTCAAAAAAATGGGCAACCAAAATGAAGACACTTCTCCAAAGAAGTACAAATGCCCATAAATACATGAAGAAATGTGCAACACCACTTGCCATTAGAGAAATGAAAATCAAAAGCACGCTGAGATTCTATCTCAGTCCAGAACAAACAGCCATCATCAAGAAATCAAGTAATCACAAATGCTGGCGATGCTGCAGGGAAAAAAGAACGCTTCCACACTGCTGGTGGGAATGTAAACTAGTAAAACCACTATGGAAACCAGAGTGGGGACTCCTAAAAAACTAAAGTAGGCATTCCATTTGACCAAGCTAGTCCCTTTAGGTATCTTCCCAAATGAGTTAAAAGTCGTAATATTGCAGGGATGCATCTACGTTTGTAACAGTAAAATTTATAAGAGGTAAATCTTAGAAATGACCTATATAGCCATCAATAGATAAATGCATAAGGAGAATGTATTTATATAAAATGGAGTACTACTTTGCCCTAAAAAGATAAGCAAGAGGCATCTGTAGATAAATGGATACACCGAGCCATAATATTACACAAAAATCAGACATACAAGCTTAAATATCACATGGTTCCTAGGAGAAACCCAAACTATAAATAAAGAGCAAAATAAAAGATAGATAATACAAAGTAGGAATATATTTCTCAAATGTTAATCCCAGCACTTGGGACTGAGGCAGGAGGACTGCCGTGTATTTGAGACCAGCCTGGGGTACATACATGAGTTCAGGCCAGCCTGAACTTCACAGTGAGACCCTGTCTCAAAAAAACAAAAACCAAAACAAATCAAATGGTAAAGGGAACAAAAGATGGAGGGGGAGGAGATGTAAAGAGAAGGGAAAAAAGAATTGAGGAGAAAAAAATGGCAACAGACCTTTTGAAAATGGGAGGGAGGACCAAGAATTGGAGGAAGCATGTACCAGCTCCTCACAATAGATGTAATCTTTATGTACTGCAAACATGTAATAAAATAAATAATCTCTACCTTAGAGGGTCACCAGACGCTTAGCTGTCGTAAAATACATGAAAATTCCAGCACACAACCAGCATGAACCAGGTATTCTGCAAGCACAGCTGTTACTGTTACTACTCCTGGCAACCTTTGTATCACCATGAAGCCCCTTTAAAAAATTATACGGGATACAAAAAGAAACTTTGTTTTTCTTTTTGGTACTGGGGATTGAATCCAGGGCCTTCACAAAGAGTTTGGTTTTTCTTTTTTAGACAGCTTCACTAGTCACTAAATTGCCCATATTGGGCTTGGGCTTGAACTTGCAATCCTCTTGCCTCAGCTTCCCCGAGTGCGGGGATGACTATGCCTGCCTGAAATGTTTACCTTCTAACAAGGGTTATGTATGTATGCGGATATGTTTGAGACAGGGTCTCTCTCTGCAGTACAGGCTGGCCTTGAACTCTCAGCAGTCCTCCTGTCCCAGTCTCCCGAGTGCTAGGATTAATGCAATGTGTCACCATGTCCAGCAAGGGTTAATCTTTAAAATATGTTTTTTGTTTGTTTGTTTGTTTTGGTACAGGGTATCGAACTCATGAGGAAAAAAAACCAAAAAACAAAAACAGTGAAGTGGGGCTGGGGATGTGGCTTGGTGGTAGAGCTCTTGCTTTGTATGCACAAAGCCCTGGGTTCAATCCCTAGCACCACAAAAATAAATAAATAAAATAAAATAAATTCATCAGTGTAGCATCATATTTAAAAAAAACAAAACAAAACAGTGAAGTGGACACAGTATGCTACCATAAGAAGAGGTAAGCAGGGCTTCAAATATAGCTCAGTGGTAAGAATCCTGTCTAGCATGTGCAAGGTCCTAGGTTCAATCTCCAGTACCAAAAAAAAGCAAATGCTGCTGAATGATTAGTTGAAAAAGCAGTTATAGGGGACTGGGTATTTAGCTCAGTGGCACAGCGCCTGCCTGGCAAGCGTGAGGTTGTGAATTTGATTCCTGGTATGGGGGGGGCGGGGGGAGAGAGCAAAAGCAGTTGTAAAAAAAAAAAAGAAAAAAAAAGCAGTTATAATATAAGACATTTGGGGACTATCTGAGACAATACATAGATTAAACCTTGGAGGACACTCAGGAACTATCATTCTTCATTTTTGTGATTGTAGTAATGGGAGATAGTCCTCACTTTTAGGAGTTGTGTGCTGAATTTTTTTATGCAAAGAGTTACAATGTTTACAATGCATTTGCAAAGGATTCAGTCAAAAAAGGAACACAAGCACACATACACCCACTGTGTTAATTACTGTTGAATCCAAATGGCAGTGGGTTTATGACATTCATTACGCCATTTTTTCCATTTTTCTGCATGTTTGAAAGTAGAGAGAGACAATACACACTTTTACTGGTATAGTACAAGTATCAGGGGCACACATACAAGAAACTACAGGGCTGGGGATATAGCTCAGCGGCACTAGCGCCTGCCTGGCAAGCACAGTGTCCTAAGTTCAATTCCTGTGTACCAAAAAAACAGAAAAAAGAAACTGTAAATACTGGCTGTGTCTGGCAAGAAACTAGAAACAGGCTTTTCACTACAAGCCCTCTGGTGCCTTTTATTTTTATATCACGTGAACATGTTACTTACTACAGTAAGATTAAGTCAGAAGAGAACTTGCTGTATCATCCCAGGGCATGGTCACGCTGCAAGCAGCTCGCTTGTGTAATACCAAAGCTCGCAGGGTGTCGCTCCCCACCGCCACTGTTGCTGCTCCTGCTGCTGCTGTACCCGTCCCCTCCCTCACCAGGACACTCATCTGCCCACATGCAGTTCTCTTCCTAACTCTTCCCCGCCAGGCCATCCAACTCACATTGGCTTTTGTTTTTCCAAAGCTGCATAAGAGAGTGCTCTATTGCTCTGTTTGGTATATATTTTAAAAAAAACCAAAAAACCTTTTCCTGGAAATTGACTGCCACGGAATAAAATATTTCATCTGATGTTTGGGTCGTGGTCTATAAATGAGACGTGAACATTGTGTCTGGGGTGAAGATAATTCTATTCATTGGTCTTATTTACTTTAGCTCAGTTAGAAAAATATTTTTATTTTATAAAGAACTAGAAGAGAGTTTTATATCATAATTTTTCACATTACATTAAAAATTTATTAGTACATGTTCACAGTACATAATTACATTTACTGTGGGGAGCTGGTACACATGCACAATACACCTTGATTTTTTTTCCATCCCCCACCACTCTCCGCCCTCCCTGCCTCCTCCAACTCTTGGCCCCCTCGCCATTTGCAAAAACTCTATTTCCACCACCATTTTCTTTTCCCGTCAATCTCTTTCCCTCCCACCTCCCCTCCATCTCTTGTTCCCCCAACTATTTGAAAAAGATCTCCTATTTATCTATCTTCTACTATACTCTCCCTCCCTCTTTCTCTCTCTCTCTCTCTATATATAAATATATATACTTTAAGTTTCTCATATGAGAGAAACCATGCAGTGTTTAAGCTTGTGTGTCTGATTTACTTCATGTAGTAGTATGTTCTCAAATTGTACCCATTCCCCCTTGAACGCCTCAAGTTAATCTTTCCTGATGGGAGAGTGAGTAGTGCTCCATTGTTTATAAATGCTACCTTTTCTTTATCTATTCATTTGTTAGTGGGCATATAGGCTGTTCCCAAGATTTAGCTATTATGAATTGTGCTGCTATAAACATGGGTGTACATGTATCACTACAACATGATAACTTTTAACTCTTTGGGGAAGACACCGAGAAAAGACATAGTTGGGTTAAATGGATTCTATTTTTAGTTTTTTGAGGAATCTCTCCTCTGATTTCTATAGTGGGGGCACTAGTTTACATCCTCACTAACAATGTAGAAGAGTTCCTTTTCCCCTACCTTCTCACCAGCATTTGTACAATTAATACATGTTAATTCCAACAAAAAGAAAACCACTTATTTTACTTCTGGTGCTTGAAGAAGCTGGGGCCTCATGCATACTTCACCCTTGAGCTACAACCCAAATCCTAATACTTTTTGTTTTGTGGGTTAGGAGAGTGAACCCAATGGGTGCTGAGCTACATACATCCCCAGTCCTTTTTTACATTTTATTTTGAGACGGGGTTTTGCTAAGTTGTCAAGGGTGGCCTTGAACTTGCATCCTCCTGCCTCATCTTCCTAAGCAGCTGGGATTACTGACTCCTAACATTGGCTCCCAATACTTACTTTAAAGAGGCTTCTATAACCTTCTTAAGAGCAACTGCCCACATAAACCCTACAGATGGACTGGGTCTCACTCCTGCACAGCAGCTCTCCTTCCTCAGTGTAGAGAGCTAGTGATGGCTCTTCACAATGTTCAAAGAAACAGGAGGAGAAACCACGCCGAGAGCCCGAGAGCTGCAGGCAGAGAGTGAGCGCATTCGCACCACACATTCTGTCTCCCTCTCCTGCTCTCAGGCGGGAGCTGGCCTGAGCACTCCTGTTCGTGGGGCCACTTGAGCCAGTCTGCTAGGAACAGACGCTTGTGTTCACCACTTTTTAGCAGGAGCAGCTGAGGTACAGGGAATGGGGAAGGGCTCTGAGAAGGACCTGCCAAAGGTGAATGTGCTGCAGTGTGCCCTTCTTCTTTCACCTTGCCCTCCCCTCCCTCCCTGAGAAGGGGGAAGCTGTGTACACGTGGGGACCTCACCATTCCCACTCTGTCCAGGGAGGAAGCTCAGCAGGACACATCCGAGCACTGCAGCAGGAAACAAGCAGAGCCCTCTGTTCCCTCTCCTTTGCAGTCAATCTAATGATAAGCTGCTCAGAAATTGAGCAGCTGTAAGCTCTGTAAGCTCTCTGGGAGCCCCAGGATGGTCTGGTTCTGCTGTGCCATCAGGTAAGCATGGTGCCAGGCACACACAGGAGACACCCAATAGCAGCCTGTGCTGCAGCCGACACTGCCCCCTTCCAGGCTCTGAAGATGCCACCTCTCGGGCCTTCTGACTGATGCCCGCGCCTCCTAACATGAGGTGCTCCCCTCCATGTCTTCCCCAAGCCTCCCCACCTCCAAGTTCCCCACTGCTCTGGAGAAACATTTCTGAAGCAGTAAGTCAATCATAATCCGAGGACAGACTTTCCTCTATGCCTCCCTGAAAAATAAGAAAAGAAGTCTGCAAATGACACTTTGGTTTTACCAAGACAACCCCTTCCTGGCCCAGCACAGGGGAGAAAGAGATCAAGTTCATCCCTGAGAAGGCCATAGTGCTCAGAGGACTGGGCACTGAGATACCAAACTTGCCATCCTCACCTAGTGTTGAGCTCCAAAGCAAGAGGCCTCAGTTGCAGACCAGTCCTGGACCCCTACATATATGATGCCCCTCCCCAGGATCACCCCACACTTACCATCAGCATGCAGAAGTCAGGTAGGTGGCCGGTCATGCCAAAGACAGTGGTCTTCAGGTACTTCTCATGGCCAGCCAGGTCAATGAAAGTAATCACCTTGGTGGACTTCTCACAGATCTTCGTCCACTCCAGGCTGCCACCATGGCTGTCAGGCTTGTTTACCACATTGCCTTCACTGTCGAAGCCCAGAATGTCATTGCCCACGCTGCTGGTACGACCAGATTCAATCTCATGTTTATGGCGGAACAGCTTCTGGCGGGCAAAGCCACGGCCATTGTCCAGCTCCCCATGTGTCAAGACTCCCAGAAGCGTGCTTTTGCCGGCATCCACATTGCCCACAACCGCTACCCTGTGTGACATGGACCCATACATCAGTGTGAGGTTAGTGTTGAAGAGACAACTTGGAGTCCAGAAACTGGACCTCTGAATCCAGGCTCACCCTTCCAACCTCAGCTCACCACTCCTCCTGCTCTTCCATAAGCTCCTGGGAATGTCCCTAGCGCCACATCCAGGGAAGCAACCCAGTGGTCCTGGGCTCCCTCAACACCTAACTCCCCCTGGCCCCGGGCTTTGGGCCTCAAAGGCGGATGGGAGCAAATGCAACCCACAGCGTGGCCACAGAACACATGGCTGGGCTCTCCCACCCTTCCCAGATGCAACTATTGAGGGGCATGAAGTGCAGATGGAACAGAGCTGTCATGACCCTGGGCATACTGTCCCCATCTCAGTAAGGGAAAAGAAAGGAAGGGGGTGGGGCTGACACACCAAGTGTCACAGTTTCTACCACAGGTGTCTATGAAGCTGTAGCCCCCAAGGTCACGCATCAGGGACGCTTGAACAGTTCTGAGGCCTCCTCACCTGACCTCCAGGAAGTCATTGTCTCCTACTCGTTTCCGGACCAGGTAATCACGCACACGGCCACCGGCTTCTTGGCGCTCCCTCAGGAGGATGACGTCAGCCTCTATCTGTTCAGCCATGCTCTTCACTGTGGCATAGGAGGCCTCCATGTCAGCTTCACTCAGCCCGTACTCAGTCCCATCTGGTGACAAGAGCCCACACATCAGCGGGAGAGAGGGTCCTGACCAACCGGCCTGCCAACATGCCAGCCAGTCCCGCTCATCTAAAAGGCCCTACCTAGGTGCTAGAGAAGAACACATACTCTCCCCTGACAGTCAGGGTAAGATAGTGCCAGCGCCTCCCACCAAGCAGGGCACTGGGCAGTTCATTCAACAACTTTCTTGGGGTGCATGCCAAGTCTCAGGCTGGAAGCTAGGCATATCGGTACCCTGAACAAGCTCACAGCCCTGAGGGAGGGTCAGGCAAGAAATTAATTAACTGCAATACAGCTCCAGGGCTGTGCTGCAGACCTAGATGGAGAGAAGATAAGGCACAGCCCGGGGAAATGAAGGAGTTTTGCGGGGGCTGACCCAGGCTGGTTGAAAAATGAGCCCACAAGAAAGAAGGAAGGACATCCGCCAGGGGAGCAGAGCATGAAGCATGGCAAATGATGGCACATCAAGGAACCGGGATATGGCATTGGGGAGCAGGACAGAGCACATGGAGTGGAAGGAAAGCACACAAGAGACGGAAGCCGGCATGGCGGATGGACATCAGACAGAGCAAGACTACTTTACTACTAGGCTGTGGAAGTCTGGGGTCATGGACTGGAGTAGCATGAGATCGAGGTGGACTAGAAAGGCCTCCCGGGGAGCAAGCAAGAGGCCAGAAGGGGGAAGCCAGGGAGGAAGTGAGTCTAATAGTCTAGGCAAGTGATGAGCACAAGATAAAGAAGGGAGTGGGGAGCATCTTAGGATTATTTTAGAGAGACACTTTGAACTGAGCCGGCTCGGGTGAAATGTCCGGCAAGTCGCTAGAAAAAGGAGTCTGAGCCCAGGATGAGGGAAGGCGGACAGAGGACAGGCTGAGCTGCCTCTGGTTACTGAGCACCTGGACAGTGCTCCCTCGGCCCTTCCCAGGCTCCTCCCTGGCACTCCCTCCAGCAAGGCGCCTCTCCTCTTTACCACTCTCCACCGCCAGGCACACGCTATTTCCTCTCCTCCCTACAAACCGAGTAAAAGAAACCACACCCTCTTCCCCTGCCCATTCACCTCCTTGGTTCTTCCTTTGACCACCGAACATCTCAAAAGAGCAGCTGATCCTTATTATTGACTGTCCACCCCAATTGCTCTGAAACGACCACTCCTGAAGAAACCACAGTTTTCAGATGTCACCAGTGACTTCCCAGCTCCTCTGTCTCATGCCCTTTTCTCCTCCCCTACAGCAGTCCCGACCAATGGGCCTTCTCTCTTTCTCCTAAACCTTCCTCTAGTCAGATACCACAGCACATTCTGTAATCCCACATACATAGGAAACAGGAAGATCCCGAGTTTGAGCACAACCTGGGCAACGCAGCAAGACTCTATCTCAAAAAAAACAGAAAGAAAATAAATAAATGCTCTATTTAGCTATTCTGTAGCTTCAGCTGTCATTTTGCTTTGTTTGTTCATTTGTTTTGAGACAGTGTCTCACTATTCCAGGCTGGCCTCAAACTTGCTGCTTCCCTTGTCTCAGCTTGCTGTGCGCTGGGACTACAGGTGTACATCACCACACTCTGCTTCAATTGTCATTTTTGTTTTTTTGTTGTTTTCGTCTTTTTGAGACAGGGTCTCGCTATGCAGTTCAGGCTGGCCTTGAGCTCACTTTGTAGCCCTGGCTAGTCTTGAACTAGCAATAATCCTCCTGCCTCAGCCTCCCGAGTGCTGGGATTACAGGCATGCGCCGCCACACTCAGCTCTCAATTGTCATTTTGGAAACTACAAAAGCATTCACTTCTAGCACCATCCTCTTCCATGAGCTCCACCCTGAATATCTAAGGGCTGGAAGGTAACTCCTGAAGTCTGCTATCCAAACTCAATCACCAGCATAAAATGACTAACATCAGTAAAGCACTGGCGTCCTCACTATCCCCCAGGGGGAGAGGCATTACTGTTCCTTTTGAATGGTGGGGTAAATAGAAGCCAGAGGAAAGCAAAGGGGCCATGCAAGCCATGTCTTCCAGTGCCAAACCTAGAGCCTTTGCTACCTGCCAGGATCCCTCTTACTGCCTGACCAGCTCCTCCTACCACCTTCGCTGTTCTAATAATCGTACTACTAGCCTTCCAGTCACCCACGCTTAACACTCATCAGTCCAGTCCTGCTGATTCAGCTCTTCAGCTTTCCTCTTTCTCTACTGTCTACTCACTGCCCACAGAGTGACACAGGTCCTTATTCCATCCGAATCAACACTGTAAACTGAACTGGTCTTTACAAATTCAGCCTCTGTTCCTTCCATCCATCCTACATGACCCACATGCTTAAGCTCCTAAATAAACACAGCTCTGATGTGGTCACTTCCACATCAAAACTTCTGAATGGTTTTCCAGACCCAGCCGCAATTCTAGCCTCTCATAAGGGCCCCCCCCAAAATGAGGCTGAAGGGACCTCCTTTTCAATCTCCCTCTGTTAGCTCTGCCCCAGTGCAAGTGGCCCTATCCCCCAGCCTTGGGTTCCTGGCATGATTCCAGTTCCACATCCCAGGCACCCTATCCCAGTGTCCCTCCTTCTGGAAAGATCCTACCACTCTGCTCAGAGGCCACATAAACCTTTGCCTCCCTTCGAGCATTTGCCAAGTACTGCTCCAGGCAACAGTGTTCTGGACCATGCCCTTCCCTCACACAGGAGCATCTTGAGGGTGGGGACCATATTGCAACCATTTCTTGATGCCCCACACTGGAAGGCTTTCCTATGTTATGCCCTCAAATGTCTGTAAAATGTAAAACAAATTAGCCAAGAGGGAGTGGCTGGGCTGAGAGATTTCTAAATGCACAGCCAAATGCACTCTGAACACCTCCTAGGTTAGAGAAGGGCTGAGGAAAGTGTTTCTAAGGGGACCCTCGGGGCGCTGCCATTCTCATCACACCCTCAATTCTACCCATCCTCCCCTGCCTCCCTCTGTACAGCAAAAAGCAGTGCCTTCCGGTCCTGCTCCACACCAGAGGCCATCGCCAGTGTCACCTTGTCCACTTGGGCTCTCAGTGGGTCACATCACTCTTCTCCATCATGCATCGAATTCCTCATTCTAAGAATGGAGACAAAGGCCAAGAAGAAAACCACAGCGCTCCAATTACTGAAGGCCTATCATCAGCCACGTCTGGCCCGAATCACATTTCTGTCCTGCCAGCTCATTTACCTTTCCTATAAGCATTCTTCTGCTCAACGTGCTGCAAAGGCTACCCACATTTTGGGGATAAAAATCTAACCTCTTTAGCACAACATTCAAGGACCCTCCAGATGGGGCTCAGTCTCCCCTCCTGCCAGTCCCACCTGCCCCAATTTCTCTGGCCAGCTCGGTCCCCCAGTTTCCACTGTCTCCATGCCTCTGTGCACATGGCTTTCTCTGCCTGCTGGCCACTGACTCCACTCATCATGAAAACTTCTGCTCATCTCTTAGGATCAACCCCAGGGGCAGCTCCTCCGAGTAGCCTCTCCTCCTTACAGGCTTAAGCCCCGTCCTAGGAGCTAGCACTTTCAGTACAGCACCTGGCTCTTCTTAGAAAGTCATGACTTAGTATTTGACAAATGAATAAGGTTCTTTCTTTAAAAATCTCATGATAAAGAAACTACAACCTGGGATCCTAAAGAAATTATTATGGTAACTACTAATATTCACGAACATTTGTATGCCATTTATATGCAATTACCTTGAATTCTTACCACTTAATCTTCACTACTGGACCATGGACTAGGTTCTATTATCAGCCACATTTTCAGACAAGTAAAAAGCCATCAGTAAACAGAACAGCCAGCCTCCAGACCCTCACCTACTAGGTCCTAAAACTGTGCCTCCCTCTGAAATGCCCACCTTAAATTAAAAACACATACATCAAGAACACATTCCTCTGTAATGCTCACAATTTTTTTTTTTCTATTTTAGTTTTTTTTCCGGTACTGGGAATTGAACTCATGACCTCGCACTTGCTAGGCAGGCGCTGTGCTGCTGAGTTAAATCCCCAGCCCCTATTCACAATTTTTTAATGTCTAATTTATCCATTCAAATTTCTCTGAGGTCGGGGGGGAGGTATCATTACCCCCATTTTACAGAAGGGCATGATAAACAGAGGTGACATATCAAGGCCACACAGAACATCAATGATGAACCCATCCTCCAGGGGCTGGCATCTGGTTGGGTCCTCTGTCTGATGCTTAACTTGTTTAACTAGTTCTGTCTCTAAAGAATTCCAGCAGGAAGAAGTCATTGTGAATCTAACAGCATCCAACTGGTAGATGCGAGGAAAATGCTCGGGTGTGTAGGAGATGAGCTCATGAGTGTCTGACATCTTACACCTTGCCACAGAAGGGTTAATTAGTTGTGAGTTGCCAAGGCATGGAAAAACGCAGAGTCCACATTAAAGGACAAGAGGAAAGAGCAGTTGTAAGAATCTGGGTTGCCAGGCGTGGTGGCGCACGCCTATAATCCAAGCACTGGGGAGGCTGAGGCAGCAGGATCATTGCGAGTTTCAAGACCAGTGTGGACTACAAAGTGAGCTCAAGGCCAGACTGAACTGCAGAGTGAGACCCTGTCTCAAAGAGACAAAAAAAAAAAAAAAAAAATAGCCATCACTGTTGGCACCATACCAGCCAAACCAAGTTTCCATTCACCATCTCTCAGCTCTCTCCAAAGAGATATCCAACAAACTCTCCAACATTCAAGACCAAATTAACTACATAATGACAGTGCCTCCAAAATTACAGGGTGGTGCCAGGT